AAATGACTTCCTTCCACGAGATTTCTGCCACAGCATAGAGAACTAGATCATTTTTTAAGTATCTCTTACAAGCAGTGATGGCTTATAATTTGCATATATTAATCAAGAACTCTTACTACACATAGCTTTGCACAGCAGAATATTGTAACTGCCAGTGCTCTCATGTCTTCATAATCTACTGCAGAAAGGCTCAAAAAGAAGGAAGAACTGTTTCTAGCTATTAAACCACTACTTACTTTCACTAATAAAACAACCAAATACAGTCTGGCACCACTCGTTCCTTTCCCTGCTACTCTTCTTATGACTTAAATGGGTTTCCACAATACCCTCTGGATGGCAGGTTTATCAGGGATCTCTTCTCTATCATGGGACTTCCCAATGCAATGCATTTCCACTTGCACCAGTTCTAAGACTCCATTAGAACAACACAGAAATTCTTGTTCATGAAGGCTTTCAGGAGGAGCTTGGCTTTGCAAATACTTTAGTTTAATTATTTACTTCAATGGAAACCATTTTTCTTTAGTTTTAACGAAGAGTGCAATGCAAAATGAAATCAGTTTTGAAGCTACCTTATAACATCAATCCCTTTTTTGTGAGAAATGATCCATTATTAATCTCCTTTCTTCCACTCTTAATTTCCCCCCCAACTGAAAATCCAACTAGTTCCTTAATATTTTCACATTTCTATTTGACAGAGGGGTACACTTCATTTGTACAAGGTCTCTCTCAATTCAACAGAACTGACAGAATAACCCAGGTAAGCAACACTGCCTTTTAAAAAAAAAAAAAAAAAAAAAAAAAAGAAAAACTGACATTGTTATTTTCTCAAGACAAATATGCCCATTATTACATATGTTCTATCATCCTTCTGTCTAAAAGGATATCAGGCACAAGAAAGCAGAAGTAACATCATCTTTTAGTCTCTCTCCCTCATTTCCTGAAATCCAACAACTAAAAGCACCAGGCCCTCCTATTGAAAGGAGTATCAAGTTCAGATGTTCAGATCCTAAATGAACAGGCTCCCTGCCAAAGGGGAGGAGCCAGTCACTGAAAATCAGTTTTCAGAGCGGTTTCCCATTGACCAACATAAGTGGGAACAGAGGTGAGCCATCTTTCTCACAATTCTGTCTGAATCAGCCACAACCCCATCGCCACAAACTTTCCCAAAAGAAGCTCTATCTGACAATGCTTAGTCTCGGTCAACTCCGGGCAGAGTACACCACATGCGTACAATTTAATGGATAACATACCTGTTTCTAATCGTGATGAATATTGGTACAAGAAATACAAATTCACCAAGTAGAGAAATCCTGTTCCGGGTCCCACTGGGAAGAAGAAAGTTGCAGTTATCGGCCGCCAGATCTGTCCAGATCAAAAGAAAAAAAGATGTATTTATATACTGTAGAATGAACTCAAATGCATTGGGGTTTTGTTTTCATTTGTTACCAATTACTTGGAAGATCAAGGAGATTAAAAATAGACCAAGTATCAGTTACTGCTGCTTCAACAGCTTTTACAGTTGCTTTTTTTTTTTTAAATCTGATAAGCAAAGCTATTAAGATCACAAGAGAAATCACATACAACTTCCCAGATCGCTTCCATCACATCTTCGCAATATTGAGCGTTTACTGTGGTGCAAAAGGGATATGCTTGCAAGGATGCTGCCCTGTTTTAAAAGCATCCCTACAGAATCCATCCTTACCTGTTGAACAGAGGCCAAAGAATTCACTCAACAGCCTTTAGCGTACTGTTCCAGACAGCACACACTGCTCTGAGCATTTTGCACCTGCTTTAGAGAGTCTCCCAACTACCAATATCGGGCACAGTCAACTGCATGGCAGCATGCAGCAAGGACAGAAAAAGTCTGGCCGTTTATGAATGAGCTCTTTAACTGGCAACACTTCCAAATAAGAGTATTGGGATCCTGAGCATCACAGTTCCAGAAGGAATAACAGAACTAGAGGAAAAAAATAGTCATTTAAGCTACTAAATTTTGGGGACAATACATGAAACAAACTACAGTAGAACTACCTTTTTTTGCACTCAAATCTTTTTCACTGAAGATATAATGAGCACATATAATAGAAATTTAAAGGTTGGGATCTTTTCTCTTCCTTCACTTTCCTTTTCAGTTCATCTAATTGGCGCCCTCCCCCTACACACCCGCATACCAAACCCTGTAACCTCCCAATGCAAGGAAGAAGACTACGTCCAGTTTGTGACCACTTTTGGTATTGCTAACGCATCCAGAGACGCCGTACAGCTGAAACCTCAGGACTTCAGCTGCTAGTTTATGTCAACCACACCTAGGCACAGAAGGTGACAATCCTGAACACAAGCCTCTTGAAATTCCCAAGCAAGAAACACTAAGAAGGTGCAAAAAAACCCCCACTTCTCTAGCTCTGCCTTAATATCTCCCGAGCTACCTGCGGTTTAGGACAGTCGTGCACCCGCCTGCAAGCCCCGTTCCCACAGTCGCATCCACACAATCGCACAGCGGAGGCTGGGCAAGCCCCCTGAAGTCGCAGCCACAGGTTGTATGAGTATAAAGTGCCTTAGGACAACAACTAGTGCCAGCCACAACAACCCCCCCGTCAAAAAACTTAGGAAAAAGGGGCACCAGAATGAGATGCGAGGCAAACTACAGGGCCTGCCAAGGGCCACAGCCCTCCTCGGCCCGCCCCGGGGCCCTGTGTCACCTTGGTGGGGAGCCCGGGGCCTGCGGAGGCACAGCACTTGCTAAACCCGCGGCCCAGCTCGCAGGCCTGACGCAGGTTAAGCAGGCAGGCAGGCCCGGCTTCCCGCTGGAGGCGGTCTGCCTCGGTACGCGGTTCCCTCCCGGCGCGGCCGCCGGGGGAGGGGGCCAGCCCCCGCCCGCAGCCCGCAGCCC